ATATGAATTATGTTATTATATCAAGTGCATTTTTTCCGTGAAACAAAGGGCTTATAACCAAGAAAAAGAGAAAAAGAATCGACACATGGAATCGGTAAAGACAACCAATCTCTTGTTTCCGCAGCTCGAAAGCACAATGGTTGACTTTTTTATCACACCACTTCCTATCGACTCTTCTTCGTAAACTCCTAGGTCAAAGCTTGTGCATCGAGTGTCTAATTATTTTTGCCAAGTATGTACTTGTCTTGAAAATAGGTGACAAAATTTGTTGAAATTCCAGACTTATTTTCCATATGAGGAGATAAATTTGTTGAATTTTCGCAACTATCGAGGGTCTCTTCGCAAAGAATGACAATGTTGATAGTTTCTTTCCTTAGATAAGTTTTAGATTATTTCTAGAAATTTTGTTGGTTAGGAACAGGTTCTTGTACGTGGCTCTCATTCATAATGGTTCCAACCTGATTCAGGCATGAGAGGTTGAGACCGGTACCCCATACTAGCTAGAAATGATTTTTAAAGATAAAAAGTTATATGTTTAGATTATTATAGATAGTAGAAATTCTATAAGCAACATTACACTATATGAAATTGACGAGCAAATATCATATAGCCGAGAAGAAATGGGGTTTTCTACAACTAAATGAAATTAATGATGAATTTAAAATACGCATTGTGCTGGTTTCATATTTTAAAGCAAGAAAAAAAACATTGTGTCACCTTTCTGTTTGTTCGGTCTAGGATGCCATTTTATTCAACAATTGAAGCTCCTTTTAAACTCACTCATGTAGGGGTGAAATAGTACATAAAATAAATGATGACAATTGAACATCCTCGATTTCCACCATGGCCATTTCGCTTGATCCCATACGTTTTATCCGAGCATGCGACCTTTAAAGAAGGCATTTTCTCGACAACTTCACGACCCTATATGGCAGTTCATTCGCCGGAAATTCTTTAACCTCTTATGAATATAGGTTCTCTATCACGATAATCACTTATTACTGAAGATTTGGAACAGATATTGTAGATGCGCAATCCGGTCCGGAGTATCCGTTGAAGCTTTTAACAAAAGAATGGACCTACGTGCACAGGAACGCGTGTTAAACGTTCGGATTTTATTTATCCGGATTGGCCCTATGTGACCAAGAGTAAGTATACGGAGCAATAAAAGAGGAAGAAGAGAGCTAGATACCTTACCTGAGCATAGAGATTGCTATTTATAGAGGTCTCCATTCTTGTCCGACAGATGATGGTCAACCGATGCTGCATTAATGGCGACAAATGCTGACTTGCAAATAGTCTCAACACGCAACACTCAAATATAATATAACCAACCCACCATTTGAGATTTTCCTGTGTGTATCGATCGCAACCTGTCCCAAACCCTCACGCTCTCTCTCGCTCTCTACGGTTTTGTTGCTCCCCTTCTCACCTTGGCTTCACCAATCCGTTTGGCAATGTCGCTCCGACCAAGCGTGAGCACGGAGGTTCACCGGAACTGCTACAAGGTGGCAGTGGACGTTGGGGAGGGGCGCCGGCGATGACATGGTGGAGATTCACAAGAAATCGTCGGGAGGTGGGCTTTCAGAAAAAGAGGCGGGAGGGTCTTCAGGCTCAGCAAGTGATGCCTTCGCTTCACTCTTCTGCTGTTGAAAAGAAGGTGGAATTCTCTTCTTCGATTTGATTATTAGGGTTTTGAGTGGTCTGCAATTGGTTTTGTTCTTTATTTTATTTTGCGACTGATTGATTGAATGATTCTATCCCAATGATCGAGTGATGATTATAACCGTGTCAGGATAAGGATTAGTTGTATAGGGCTTTGTTTATTATTTTAAATGGAGACTAGTTTTTGGCTATTCATATATAAATTGGAGCCTTTAATTGTATGTCATTAAGGCCTTCCTCTGGAAGGAGTCTTTCTTTGCTTCTTACGGAAATTGGGTTCATCGTAATATACAATTCGCAGAATTATAACGACATTGATCTCCTTGTGCATGTTATTCGTGTATTCTAATTGGGATGCGATTCGTGATAAATTGAAGTGTTATCACATAACCAGCGTAGTGGTATGTTGAGCTCATTAAAAATGTGACTAACTGCATAAGGGGCTTAAGCTATTGGAGGTGAGGAAGATAAATTGCTTGAAAATCGAGCTACTTTATTGAGTTTTGAGTTTGGTTTATTGACGTTATAAGCGTCCATCATCTTTAGTAATTTGAGAGAGTACGTTTGGCAAAACACTCAGTTTGTCATAATTTTTTTTCCTTCGATTTAGTGCGTCATCGACCACCAAGCACTTCCATGCCTTCTTAACAAGAAAAGCATCAAGAAGGAAGCGTGTTGGACCATCTCAAACATCGCTGCTGGAAACAAGGAGCAGATTCAGGTAAGATATTTCTTAATGCTTCTCTTTATTTTCTTTTTTGTTTTATTCCTTGATTTAATGCAACCTGAATTTTTATATAGAGCGTAGTGGTTTGTCAACATCTTCATCGTGGATGACCGTTCGTCTGTGTGACACTCTACAGGCTGTTATAGAGGCTAATTTAATTGCTCCGCTCGTTCATTTACTTCCAAATGCTGAATTCAACATAAAAAAACAAGCGGCATGAGCAATCTCCAATGCTACATCCAGCGGTTCTTATGAACGAATAAAATATGGGCAATCTCCAATATAATTGCTCCGCTCGTTCATTCACTTCAAAATACTGAATTCAACATCAAAAAGCAAGCTGCATGGGGAGTCTATAATGCTACATCCGGCGGTTCTCATGAATAGATAAAGTACGAGTTATCTTTGTGTAAGTGTCTCTTTTTGTATTTGAGTAGTGCTATTTCTTAGCTTTCGGTTTCACTTTGTTGCTGCAGGTTCCTTGTTAGTCAATGGTGTATCAAGCCCCCGTGTGATCTTCTCATCCGTCCTGATCCAAGAACTGTGACCGTCTATTTAGAAGATCGTGAGAACATATTGAAGAATCCATGTGACATCTTTAACTTTTCCTTCCGGTAATACTTCATCAAAGTAATTCTTCATTCATCAAAGGTTAGTTCTTTGCAATACATAGATTAATGGCCCAATTTTCCACACGAGTAGCAAAAATGAGATACCAATCCAGCCAAATGTTCTTACCTTCCATTTTTGTCAATTTCCCAGTCTTTATCAGCTTAATTTCCACCCATGCTCTCCCAGCTTTGAGTAAAAAGTTTAGGGGTCGATTTTGCATAAAATTTGCACTTTTCTAAGATGTCTAAGATGGAGGATTTCTTTGCAAAATGTTAAAACATGAAAGTTTTAGACAACGTGCGTAATAAATTTGGTATTTTTAGAATTGATTTGCCATTTTTCCCACATTTTTTTAGCATTTTTGAATGAACCGGGTCAATTCTAGGGGAGGCAAAATCCAAGCCTTTCGGGTCTGATTTAGGAGAAGTGTCCTTAATTAAGATTGAACTCCACTTCTTAAGCTTTTAAGCTGGTTGGTCAAGCTACTTTATTGAATCAAAACATAATCAGCAAAATTCTCAAGGCTAATAAGGCTAATCAGCCTTAATGCATGCTTGAACTTGAGCTTCTTGAATGTGGATGATTAGATCAATGTTAGGTCGGATTGCATGATTCCGCCGATGATTAGATCGAGTCTAATTAGAGATTAATGATGTTAGCAAGGATAATAATCATTAATCTTAATGAATGAACCATGAACCCTTAGTTTGAGGTGACGGGTTTAATAAAACGAATTCTCAGTTATTAATTGATGAACATTGTTTGAATGAATGTATATGGTGAATGAATTGAATGTTGAATGAAATCCATGATCTTGGTCGTGGTCACACATCCCGAGGTGGTGGTGGCCGAGGAGTCCAAGAAGTCCGACGGTAGAGGGGGTCCTTTGGCCGGGCCACAATTAGAATAGTTTAGCCTAGAATAGCTTACTTCTAATTAGGTTAGCTAGTTAATGAACTTAAATTCTAATTAGTTTAGGCTTCATTCAATATAGTCTAGCTTAATAGATAATAATTAATTAGACTAATTTCATAATAAATGGTTAGTTTAGAATAGTTCAGTTTCTATCACTTAATAAAATGGTTAGATAGTGTAAGTCTCTAAATTCAAACTTACATTCAAGCTTACGGGGGTCGTCCATGTCCCAGGTCTTATGTCTAGGCCATGTGATATTTTTTGTCTGACTTTACTTTACCCCATTTAAATTCATTGCTTGAGGACTAGTTTGATAATAAAGAAAACAACCCCACAAAAACAAAAACAAGATTATGTGATCAAGGTACCGAAAGGGTCAAGTCTCCGATTCTCTGGTTGGGTTTAAATTGAATGCTTTAGCACCGCTACAATTAGGAGGGAGGGCTTCTTTAATCCCGGTGCTCTAGGATTCTAGTTTCTCTCCCAAAGTTTCTGGCTTAGAAGAACACTATCTACGCAGCAATGTATGGTCATCGTTTGTTATGGACCGTTTGTTATGGAGAGCTCATGCACTACAATTACGAGGAAGACTAATAAGCGCGGTGTTATCACGAGCACTGGGATTCTAGTCGTCCCGGAGTGTGAGTGTGTGTGATGGTCACTCGGGAGACTAATAAGTCCTAGTAAGTCCGGTGTTCACTACTTTCTCTCCCAAGCTTTTAAATTCAATGCTTTCCACAAGTTTTAAATCTTCAATGCTTTCCACGTGCACTGGGATTCTAGTCGCGCCCGAGTGTATGCCCATAGACCACAAGTTTTAAGCCAAGTTTAAGCCCGGTGTTCAATACTTTTATTTTGGAACTGTGGAATGTATGCATAACACATGGTTATGGTGATAGTTTGTTAGGGACTATGGGAATGTTTAAATTCAATCCTTTGGAGCTTTCTCCTGACCATTTGGGAATGCACTCATTTTTGTTTCGAAATGCTCACAATTCTCTCCGTGTCATTCAAATTCAAAGTGTCATTCAAAGAGCAAAACACCAGGATAACCATAGATAACCACCAAGATAACCCAAGATAACTAAGTCGAATAACTCTCAGGCACACTACATATGGAAAACACGCACTGTGCTCATGGAAACACTACTACACATAAGCACGGAAACACTACACATGAGCACGCACACACTGCCGACACTGATAAAGACCATATGAACCTACAGACAACCTACACACTGGACCGATAGAAACACTTGGGCACTGAAAACACTTGGATAGAAACACTCGGGCACTGAAAACACTTGGAAACACTTGATCTAAGATCAGGGGAATGTGAAGGTTAGGCTCGGGTTGGATACCTTGAATCCCGCTGATTCAAGGATCGCCCACATTTTTCGTTTAGTGTCATTGCTACCTACGCTACCTACGCTACCTATTTCCACCTTCTTGAGCGAACCCCGCTTGCCCTCTGCAAAATATGTGGAATGTAAGCCGATAAACGCCTTGACTTCTTCCATGGTGTTTAGTACGAGGACTTCTTCATCCTTGATGGAATCTACAATATCATTAAGATCATCTTGGGCGGTAGTTTTCTGATCTGCAATATACTTCTTTTCATCTTCGCTGTAAAAAATAAAAATAAAAAAACAAATGAGAGTAAAAATATATATATAAGAACTAGGAATAAATAAACTTTATCACTCACCTTGCTTTGGGGCTACTTTTGACCTTTTTTAGGTCCTTTTCTGCCTTGAGCAAAAGCTCCGAGCGTTGGCGGAGGGTGGCACCGTTACTAGCCATTGGAGAAGAGATAGGGGTGGCGGTGGAGACAAAGGAGAATCAGAAAGTGGAGACAAAGGAGAGTCTGAAAGGAGAGAACTGTAGAAGAGAAGCGGGTGGTCGTGGAGAGAAAGGAGAGTAATAGAGTATATATAATGAAGGGAGAGAAAGGGTCGCAACAAAGCACACCAAGGTTACGTAGTCACGCAATTACCAACAAGCACACCGAGGTTACCTAGTCACGCAATGCTCATAGAGCATGTCATAAGTTCGTCCAGAGTAGTGTTGAGAGTAGTGTTAAGATGTTGCTTAATAAAAATAGTTAGATGTATTCCAGAATGTCAGAACTTAGCATTAAGTTCTGCACTAATATTGTATGGCATCAAGATCACATCTCATCTCTGACAAGATCAAATCTTTTGCCTTTCACGCAACGTCCCTGCAGTTTCCAAACGCGGGCAATGAAAGGGAGAGGGGGCGTTTTTGCGTGGGGGTTGGTAAGTGGTGTTTTTGCGTGGGGGTTGGTAAGTGGTGTAGCTTCGATCATTAAAAGCAGACGGAGACGGAGAGAGACTGGTCAAACCCCAGTCAAAATCGACATTTTCTAGTCACGTACGTGCGATTAACAGTAAACCATTGTTTTACTCTGCATTTATTTGAACGAGAGCCGTGTGTACCATTGGATTTGTTTTCTCAAATGCTATGCACATGCAAAATAAATGGTTTTCCGCGGCAAATTTATATCCGATTGGCCATTAAACAAAAACGCGAAATGGACGGCTAAGAAACAATTTGCTTAGAACCTGATGACTTTATTCATCATGTTTCGGAAAATGAAATTTATTCATCATGTTTCGGAAAATGAAAATTTAAAAATCAATTTCTTATTCCTATGTTTCTCTGCCTAAAACGCAAGGACAGAGTAAGTCTGCATTGCGGGGACCGCTCAAGTCTGCATATAATGATTTGGTTTTGCTGGAACAATTTTATATTAGGTAACAAACAAAACGCAATTTAGTTTCACAAGCTACTTGATTATATTCATAAGATGTATTTTTTTCTTTATTAATAAATGCATAGATACTTTTAACTTTATCACTCTTGCACATAAATTATGAAAACTACACATATTAGGTATGGTAAAATATTTAAATTAAGTATAAATTACATTACGAAATCAAGGCGACCAAAGTAATTGTGGGCCAATTAAAATGTTGGACTAAAGTTCTGAGGTAAATTTTAGAAATGAAAATGGTAATGACAATTGTGGGACATTATAGGAATTTGCTAAACACTCATTTTTTATATTTCAAGTCCCATAATTCTCTAGAAATCTATGAAGGAAAATGCGTTTAGCTGGGTCCCAAGGGTGGGTAAAGGTAGAGCAATATTTATATGCGTGGCATTCCGCCCAATCAAATAGGAAACACAGAGTGTTAAAAATATTTTTGAATGTATAAACAGTTAACAACAATGGATACCGGCGAGGATCGTTATCTCCTAATTTTTTGTTGCCCGGTGTAATTTTTTGAGATCAACTGTTGTAACCTATATAGTTTGTGATAAAGTTTTTGTACCTATAGTTTCTACTTATAACTTAGAATTTTTCTCTAAATTCATTTTCGAAACAAGGAAAAATGTTCGTGTTTCGAAAAATTAATAAAAAAGTATAACGTTGCAAAAGTTAGAAAAAGTAAAAAATAGAAGTTATTTAAGTAGAGCTAGTTAATTTTACTTTGGGTTATATATCTATATGCTAAAAACAAGTCAAGGAAAGATAAAAGGGTAGGCATTAAAGAATTTGCGTTTCCTTTCAAGTCGGTTGCCCATTCTCGTGTAGTGGAACATTTTAGAGCATAACGGCCACCATTATACTAGCACCGCCCAATTGGACCCCTTCCATATATTTTAGCACCACCTGATTGATCGCGCTAATATCCAGTGAATTATTTATTTATTTATTGTTGAATTGTCATCTGTTGAATTTTTCTTTTATTGTTTCTTATTTTGTGATGTGGATGTTCTTGGGTTCTTCCTTACTTACGAAACCCCACGCAAACTCATGTTTTTTCTCGTCTGACAAAATTTTTTTTTACGATGAAATTCTCGCAAACTTAAAAGCACGAAAAAGATCTAAGGAGAGTTATATAGTAGGCAAGGATTTCGGGTCGGGTCGGGAATCATGAAGACCCCGACTCGGACCCGACCCGTTGACACCGTCATAGGATAGTATTAACTCTTGTCCATCCTCGATTTGCGGTTGCCCGAGTCGAGCTTGGCTCGGTTCAATTCGGACCGGTTTAGGCCGGAAATCAGCAGCGGTCAGTGTTGGCGTCCCTCGGGTTCGAGGAACTGGGGTTTCTTTTTCTTTTTTAAAATTTTCTTTGGCACGTCTTGCGCTTGGCATGTAAATTGGATTTTAATAAGAAAGGGAAAGAATTATATATGAAGGAAATGATGGAAGCGTGTTGAACAAAAAGTGAACTCTTCTCCTTTTTGTGGGGCCCATGTTATGGTAATGATGCTGTGTAAGGAGAGGCGATAATGTGACAAACCCCCTTTTTGGGTAAAGCATTGAACTCTTTTTAATTTCTTGGTCGAAAATTTCATTTATATAATTAGAATTCTGCACATCGCTTTCTTCGAATTAATTTTGAATCCTGTTCAAATAGCCTCCATATTAATTTGATCTCGTATAGAAAATATTTCTAGTTAAAACTGTTCATTCAGGATGGTGATGATGCGCATTTGCTAATTTGCTAGCTTGAATTTAGAATAACATGTTTCGATGCATATCACTCTAATTTGAATAGACATGAAGTACCATGGAAAGTAAAATAAATGCAGGATAAACGACAAATGGTTTTGCATCATTCCGTCGACTGTTAATCGCACGACATGATGGGATCCTTTCAAGAAGGGAAAAAGAAAGTCAGTTTGACCGGGTTTTGACCAATCTCTGTCCGTCTTCTTCAACATGTTGCTTGAAGCTCCATGCAAAAACCCTCTCTCACTCTCATTGCCAGCGACTGCCAACTGCTGGAAAGGGACAACCCTTTCTTTTCTTTTTGTCTTTTGCGATCAAGGAAGCCATGTTTTCAGCTTTTGCCCGACATACCTTGAAATGGTTCTGTTTCCTCTACAAAGCAACATTATTATTGTCTTGTGCCAAGAATATAACATCGATTAGCTCGAGATTTATCTCAGAAATATGACTATTCACTCGCAAGTGGTACACCATTCTACAGGTATAAGGTTGAGTGTATAACCCGTGGAATGCTATGAACTTAAATTACGAAATGTCAAAATGACGATGGAGCAATGGTTCATACAGACGTCTGAAGAGGAATCATTCAATCTCAAAGTTCAAAGCTTTTCTAGGAGTTAAGTAGGGGGATTAAAGTTACCCATTTCATAGACAATGGGGGAGAAGCAAAAAGATGACAGCCGAGAGTAGAACAAGTCATTAAGCTGATGAAGTCAAATTATAACCGTAAGTAAAGGAATTCTTCAATCTAAAAGAAATCGAGAAAAAAAAGAAGATGATAAGTGATCTGCATGCATATAATCGAGTTAAAAAATTCAACGATGGATGTCAACAATATTTGTTTGCATTGGTTATACTTATGGTTCAAGGATATAGAATACTTATGATTGGACCAAACTTTTTCATAGAATTAATAAGGCCCGATGATTAATCACGACATACACCGTCGGTGCTTAAAAATATTTCCACAAGCGATTTAATCCATCATTAATTTGTTGACCGTAACTTTTCATTATCGTGCTAATCCTCCCCATATTAGCGGAAGTAGGCTGTTGGATAAGACCGCTTGTGATTTTTTTTACAGCAATGATATTTGCTTTAATTTTCCCGTTATTTATTCAACCTTGGTAAATGTGATTTTTTTAAACGAGGCTTTCCCATTTTCTTTACTCTTATTTATAAGTAGTAATTCGAAGATTTCACGGGCTTATTTTATGCCAATAGACATGAAGTACCATGGAAAGTAAAATAAATGCAGGATAAACGACAATGGTTTTGCATCATTCCGTCGACTGTTAATCGCACGACATGATGGGATCCTTTCAAGAAGGGAAAAAGAAAGTCAGTTTGACCGGGTTTTGACCAATCTCTGTCCGTCTTCTTCAACATGTTGCTTGAAGCTCCATGCAAAAACCCTCTCTCACTCTCATTGCCAGCGACTGCCAACCGCTGGAAAAGGACAACCCTTTCTTTTCTTTTCGTCTTTTGCGATCAAGGAAGCCATGTTTTCAGCTTTTGCCCGACATACCTTGAAATGGTTCTGTTTCCTCTACAAAGTAACGTTATTATTGTCTTGTGCCGAGAATATAACATCGATTAGCTCGAGCTTTGTCTCAGAAATATGACTATTCACTCGCAAGTGGTACACCATTCTACAGGTATAAGGTTGAGTATATAACCCGTGGAATGCTATGAACTTAAATTATGAAATGTCAAAATGACGATGGAGCAATTTCACTTACTAATTGACTTGGTTTATACATACGTCTGAAGAGGAATCATTCAATCTCGAAGTTCAAGGCTTTTCTAGGAGTTAAGTAGGGGGATTAAAGTTACCCATTTCATAGACAATGGGGGAGAAGCAAAGAGATGACAGCCGAGAGTAGAACAAGTCATTAAGCTGATGAAGTCAAATTATAACCGTAAGTAGAGGAATTCTTCAATCTAAAAGAAATCGAGAAAAAAAAGAAGACGATAAGTGATCTGCATGCATATAATCGAGTTAAAAAATCCAACGATAGATGTCAACAATATTTGTTTGCATTGGTTATACTTATGGTTCAAGGATATAGCATGCTTATGATTGGACCAAACTTTTTCATAGAATTTAATAAGGCCCGATGATTAATCACGACATACACCGTCGGTGCTTAAAAATATTTCCACAAGCGATTTAATCCATCATTAATTTGTTGACCGTAACTTTTCATTATCGTGCTAATCCTCCCCATATTAGCGGAAGTAGGCTGTTGGATAAGACCGCTTGTGATTTTTTTTACAGCAATGATATTTGCTTTAATTTTCCCGTTATTTATTCAACCTTGGTAAATGTGATTTTTTTAAACGAGGCTTTCCCATTTTCTTTACTCTTATTTATAAGTAGTAATTCGAAGATTTCACCGGCTTATTTTATGCCAATGGACTGAATTAACTTAAGAACCTTCACTAATTAACTTACTTTCGTGGGCTGCAATTCGATTAAATTAAGCTCAATTCGGCCCATCTTCCCCATGGAATTTTCGGCCGAGGATTGTCCTCTTTGCGGTCGAGATTAGCCGCTCGACCTACTTAGGGTTTATTCTAATTAAACTGAAAGCCTTTTAACTTTATGAGCTAAACTCAACACAATTAAGCTTAAATATTCTGATTTTTGGGGTTAATTTTCAGCCACTAATCCTCCAGGCTTAGCCGAACTTTGCTTCACTGCGAGGCTAGTCCAAGTGACTGATTTTGCATCCACCACTGCCAGTTCAATGCTCATGCAATTAATGATGAATGTCCTTAAAACTATATGTTATGCAATTTAATATATTATTTTTGTATAGGGTAAAAATCATGAAGTTAAACGAATAAATCGTTAAATGTTTAGAACAAGTGTTCCTTTTTTTTTTCGAAAGAAAAAAGAGAAAATGACACAAGCAAACACTAAACTTTGTTCCAAACAAATGTTCAATTTAGTCGCGTCATTCAATATAATTCACAAGTTTCCATTATTACAATTCATTTCGATTCATATCCTAAACCAACAGCTTTACCTTTTTGGTTGTAATAAACATTACTATAGTTCCATTATATTTTGAAAAGAGAACCGGTCGCTCGTTTCTGGTCCATGATGCGGAATATGGCATCTTTTGCGCATGCAAGTTTCCTAGCCAGGTTGTGCTGCAGAAAACATTGTCATGAATGCTAATGAAAAGCTAAATTGAAGATTTTGCTGGGGAATTTTACTGATCGACCTGATTAGTTTCTTGGAGCGATGGTAGCTTATCGGTTTGGGTTTCTGTGTAGTTAGGACGGTGAAGGTTTTCAAAGTCCCTGTTTTCTTTGCCATAATTACTTGCAGGAAAATTATATTGTGTTTATGGTTTCGAGTTGGTACATCAACTGAGCTAAACTCTGCAGATGGGTCTGTACTATCCCTGCTGAATGAATCATTCTCCAGTTCGTGCGAAATTTGTGATGAGAAAATGATGGTGTCTATTTTGTGTAATGTTGTCTCAGACTGTGAAGGAAACTCAAACTGTTGCTTTAAAAAGTTTCCAAGATGGCTTCTGGGGTTAGCTTGGACCAAAATTTGTGATTTCCAAGTTACGTTGCATTGCTTTATAACCCATTTACCGTTTAAAAGTGTTCGTATTGTACGTAAAACATTCACATTTTATAAAATTTTACACTTATAACATAAATCAGAAATTCTTCGTATACTATCATAACCGTAATATTAAAAAAAACTTACACTTGAACGTCGTCACGAAATACTTGAAAATTTTGAAAAAATTGAAATATCAAATGCTGAGTGTACAATTGGTACGTTTATGAAATCTTGAAGGGCACAATTGGTTCGTTTTTTACTCTTTTTTTTTTTTAAATTTTTACCACATTATCTCTTTGACTTTTATTTATCACGAAATATTTAGAAATTTTCAAGATTTTCAATATTAAATATCAAATTGTCCAATTATTTCATTTTCATAACTTAGAGAAAAAGTCTAAGTACGTAATAAGTTTCTACTATAAATAGAATAATTTTATCCAAACGGGTGTCTTATTATTATTGTTGTTGTTGTTTTTATTATTAGTATTAGTAGTTGTATTTCACATTTTCTCGACTTCTATACCCATGGCCAGTATCGGAGCTAGGATATGACTAGATAGGTTCCATTCAATTAAGCACAAGGCACTCTACAACCCTTGAATTTATAATCATAGAATTTCAATGTAAGCGACTAATTTTGCACCAAAAAGATACCAAATAAATGTGCAAATGTTAGGAACAGATTACACAATTATATTGGGAATGGAAGTTTTCCTAGTACAATTGTAAATATGAATGGCTTTTATACATAAGTGCAGGTGATAACCTTGGAAGAATGTGATCAATCGATTTACTTAACCAACACTAACGTATTGTTAGAACACATCAATGCAGTCAATTAATTTTGGTAGACTGATTTAGTCGATAGAGCGATTGAACTAGAACCTACTTGTATTCCTTTAAAGACGAGACAATGAATCCTAGTCACAACGTGTTACGCAAAAAGTGCCACATGTCATTAAGAATACATAGATTCCATATAGGAAAACCAAAGTCCCTTGTGCGGTAAGATGAGCAATTCCGGCTCGTTTCATATGGTTGAAGAGTTGAATTATTGCCAATTTATTTTTCATGCTAGTTAGTATGATCATTGTAAAATGTCATGTTAATATAGAAAATTGAACTATTATCAATTTTTTTTATTCTAGTTAGTATGATCCCTGAAAAATATCGCGTTAAAATTCTGTTGCTCATTTGTCTAATGAACGAAGTTACTTTCTAAGAGGTTACAAAAAGGCCCTACATTGATCTTTTCCATGTTTTAGTGTTGAAAGTTGAAGTGCCTCTCAATTTCTTTTTTCATTCTAGTTAATATGATTCCTCTAGACTACATGGATTATACTAACAAAATCACTCTTTAAGAAACTGAAAAAGGGCCCTGAGATGGGTTTACCAGTTCTTTTTAATCGATGAAGAGTTAAATCATCGTCATATATTGATACTAGTTAATATAATCTAAGTAGTCTAGGTGCGCAAGATCTCCATGCTACTAAATTTGTAAGGAAAAATGACATAAACAGTCATGGACTTTGACCCAATGTGAAATTTGGTCCTTGAACTTTAAATTTGTTCAATGTAATCCCTGAATTTTAGCTCAATGTGTAATTTGGTCCCTGAATTTTTAATCTGTTGAATGTGATCCCTAAACTTTTGGTACATGTTCAATTTAGTCCATGAACTATTTGAAAATGTTCAATGTAGTCCTTTCGTTAATTCCAGTTCAAAGATTACATTGAACATTTTCATATAGTTTAGGGATTAAATTGAATATGTATCAAAAGTCCAGGGATCATATTAAACAAATTAAAAGTTTATGGACCACATTGAACATTAGCCTAAAGTTTAGGGACTATATTGAACAAATTAAAAGTTCATGAACCAAATTGCACATTTGGCCAAAATTCAGGGACTGTTTGTGTCATTATCCAATCTGTAATATGCATTTGTCCCTGACATTTTTCATGATTCATGCCTATGTGGTCAGTTGGATATTGCAGCTTCTATTATGAAGTGATGAATGAACTTATGTTCTGTGTAAACACCCATGAGTTTAGGTTGTGAAGCAGTGTTAGAAGGATCTACCTATCTACAACTGAAGTTAAATCACAAACTTGTCTATTTTCCATAATCTCTCTCCAACGACACATCGATTCTCTTTTATTCTCCATCACCTTGTCATTCCTCAGAATTTCTCTGTTACACTCACTTTTGACCACCAATCGAATTCTCTCCCTTAAGGCATTTACCAAATTTACTTGAGATAGAAATATTTTAGTCTTAGGTAATGCTTATACGTAACAAGAGTGCGCTAAAACTTGCAAACCTGCCCTGATGAATTGCGAACAAGTACTCCAAGAGAAATTGCTATCAAAACTCCTCCTTGTAAATCAATGTGCATTGATAGACCTAATTCTTTCTGCCAGTGAAATGCAGGATATTTGCTTTCATTGGACTCTAATGATTAAACTTGCAGAATCCTCATTTTCCAACTTCATCCATTTTCAAAGCTAATGAAACATGAGAGTTCATTACTGGTGATATTCAAATAGAAGGCCTCATTATCCTTAAGTAGGAAGTTAAGAATCCTTAGTGATCACAGATACTGAAAAGTGTCGAATGAGTTTATTTACTCTCACCAATATGAAATTCTGCCGTAGTAAGGGACTCATAATTAGATATTTTGCTTGTTCAGGAAGTCAACCACGAGACTGTTCACTTGCTCCGGAAGTTGCTCATGGACGAAATGGCTCCCCTCCGGCATGAAGGTGATGTCTAAGTTTGGGACAAAATGCTTCACTTGCCCAGTTCTTATGTAGTCCTCCATGCCTGGAAACTTCAGGACATAGTCTTTCTCTCCCATGATCAACAGCGCTGGAGCTGAAACTTTTGGATCCACTATGGCATATTCCCTCCCCAAAGACCTAGACCAAAAATGCGATTAAGATGACATATAGACCTTAATCAGCGGTTGCTGATTGATTGGTTTTTGCTAGAACAATTTTAGTATCTAGAATCATATTTCTCTCATTTATTTCCCAAGTTAGTGTCTGCTATGATTACCTGTATGGAACCTGCAGGGCAAACCGGAACCGGGACTTCTCATACAAGGATGCATAGGCCGCGAGATCTTCCTCTGAGAACCATGGAGGTAGCGGGGTTGACTCATCGACCAAGTCCATGATCTCCTGATCATCGCCAGCGACAGGGAGCTCGCTCCTTGAGAAGAGGATGTAGATGTTTCTTATGACCGTCTTGACATCTAGCCTGCCAAAGTCAGCTTCTGCTCGCCCAGGTTCCTGAAATCAATTGAGGAATTAGTAGAGGTGTCGGATGGCCGGTGGAGAGAGAGAGTCAAGAATTTTACCTGCCACCTGAGCACGTAAAAGCCTTTGGGCAAGAGATGGGATTGGACGATCGAGGGTCCGGGTAGCATGAAGGGGATGCCCAGTGTGATGACTCCACGGACCCTCTCCGGCTTGACTGCTGCCACTAGGTATGCTACCAGAGCTCCAAAGTCCTTCCCCACCAGGAAGGCCTGGATTCAACAGTCCATATATCAATTGACTTTTCTTTCTAACTCACGTAATCATCCTATGATTTCTTGATTTTGTATCTGTTTCTGTTGTCATGACAGTTGATTTTGTTTTCTCGTCCTCTTCTTTGTTGCTAGATTATCATCTTATTCATGCTCTTTGTAAAGTGCTATGCTTTGCTAGGGAATGTCCTCACTGAGGGAAAAAGGAAGCAATTTACCATTACTTTGACAGAAACAAATAGTTTATCATTCACCATGGAGATCTTTTTCTAACTTGTAGGTCTCAAGCTTGGTGAAGGAGGACATGCATCGCGTGTGCGACCTTATTAGAAGTCTAAAATGTTCTCAGTTTTTATGACCCGGATACTCTTGAGATTTATCAGTTCATAACTAAAACGCACCTGCCTCAGAAGATAGGTAGAGGACAGGGAGAGATGAAGCAAATGTCCAAAAGGACAATACTATTTTAGACCTCAAGCATATGCACTTTCATTTAACTAATGGTCATGTGAATATATATAGAAACAAAAAATTGTTTTTCTTGTACGACCAAGAAACATCCACATCAAGAAGCTCAACCTCTCTAGATTGATGGTTCAATGACGATTGCATTGTATTATTGTTGGTGTCATGACAAGAATCCGTTTAATAACAGACGGACATGGACTGACTGAAATATTTAAATTAGCAATTGGCCAAAAACAAACAGAGAACATGCATAACAAGCAGAATTTTTCTGGAACTGATTGAGGAGAAGGAAGAGGACGATGAATTAATATACGAAAGATTCTGAAGGCTCAACTATCAAAAGCAAAAATTTTGCCGAAGTTAAAAGTCTCTAGAGCAATAATTGTCTGATCATCCCTATAATGGTAGTGCAGATCAAGGTTAGTATTTCTGAAACGGAAAAATGTATTTAAGTGTGTAAGATTAATGTGATGGTACCTTTGCAATGCCCAGGGCATCAAGGAGGGCGGCAACATCTTCAACAAGATCAACAAAAGAACCCTTCTCAGGGTCAAGAGGCTGATCGGAGAGCCCATAGCCTCTGAAATCGAAGGCGATGGTGCGGTACCCTGCATCGGCGACGCCAATCATTTGGTGCCTCCACGTGTACCATATCTCTGGGAACCCGTGCAAGAACACCACCACCTTTGGACCTGCAGAGTGCACACGGCAAATTTGTGAGCCGGGTTATCCTTCATATGATGAACTCAGCAGCACGTGAGCGAATGTCGCTGAAGAAGTCATGTATGTGTGTCTCTCTCTCTCTCTCTGTAAACTTTCCTGTATTATGTACCTTCTCCAATTTCGGCAACATGAAGCTTCACATCTCTCACTGCAACATGGCTGTGCTTGACCTTCTCCATCTTTCCTGGAACACGCACAGACTCACAAACAGAGGGGAGAGAGAGAGAGAGAGAGAGAGGTAAGTAGGTGAGTGGGAGTTATGAGTATGACATTGTAGATGGCCTTTGCTGTAATTAAATATAATTGATTTGTACGAAAATGCCGACAAGGTAGATATAACTTCCCCCCAAATAAGACAAACAAGTATTTCAACGCAAAGGTGTAGACTCTCAAGAGCATCCTTGGTTTAGAATATTCTGCTAATTACAGTTGTGCACATGGCTCCAAACGATTCCTACTAGAAAGATTAGTTGTGAGGGTTCGCCAATTTCCTTATGCATAGTCATGATTTGAAGCAGATACAACTAACTCAACCCTCACTCCAAGTTCCAATGCTTCTTACACTTTTCCCATTAAATTAGTAAGTTCATTAAGTTGATGCTTTGACCGTTCATGTCGTAAAAGGCTGAAAAATTTGAAGTGTTTAGAAAATGACATACCAGACAGTCTGCTGAAAGAATGAGATTCTAATTGACTAGAAATGGAATCATAAGAAACCGTCTACCAACAAAACTATCAGAAAATCCAAGCTTAGGGTTAAAGAATGGTCTTTCTAACGGTGCTTTTTTTTTTTTAAATTTCCTAATCATCTGGACGGCTAGTAACTGCGGAACAGCGAAATCACCTTCTGCTTCCTTCATATTTAGATGCAAAAAAAAAAAGGAAAATTATCATGCCATGCCCAATCATTGTTATATTAGAAATATCTTGCAGGTTCTGTTTGTCTTTTTCCTTTGTCCTACTTGTGGAAGCATTCAAATGATTTCGCGATGTTATATTCCTGCTTAGATAAGAACTCCTGTACAAGAACTCCTCGTTCCCTGTGACTTGGTAGAGCGAGAGAAATACATATGCATTCCCACTTATCCCATGGCATATACCAACTCTTCTTAACAGCAGCCCTCTATTCCACACTACCTCCTCAGCATCAACTGCAGAACGTAAAGATTTGTCATCTTGAAAGATCTGGCTGCGGCATATACTCCGAGTAAGTGATCATCACGAAAGCTTTTTATGAGTAGAGAACATTTTAGCGAAGATAAAGCTTGGGTAGTGCATTTCTTTGCAAACACTACCTAGGACATTGGTAGTGCTGTTTAAGAATGGATGATAGAAAAATTTGAGGACATATCCGTTTACATTTAATGGTTTGCTCATGGGGCTCACCAGCTTATTTCCACGGAAGACATGCATGGAGGTGATAACCACTACTCCCTCTTTGAAGGGATTGGAGGTATGTCTTATCTCTTTCTAGACATGGGAGAACCCTCAGGGAGCGCTTTCCAGCTTATGAACATTGAAAAGGGGGAATAGATGGAAAGAAAAGAAGGGAGAGGTGAGATCACGCTTGCCGTCAAGTTGATCGAACTAGTGTTGATTACAAGTTTTATTTGTACATGATTGTAGCGTGTATGGGAATAATGACCCGCATCATTTTCTACCCCCCACATCCTCACACGCAGGCTTTCGTATCTTAGATTTCTTCTTGATGTACACTTCTTGTTCTATCATTATAAATAAGATATCATGAAAATTGCTTGTGCTTTGTTCTGTTCATCCAAGTACTTGCTTGGTCTTTGTGGCCACTTCAACAACTTAGAGTGAAAATGTGTTCGTTAACTCTGTAAAACCAATTGGAGAGTGGTTATTTATCTGCAATCATCTTCTGAACCAGGCCGCTAACTTTCCAGTTACTTCCTTAGTTTAAAGGGATTGTTTGCTAGTTCTGTGTTCCCAAGTGTTTCATAGAGTCTATTTCCCCTGTTTTTACATGTTGGAGTTCATTGTATTAGGAGTTACTTAGTTTGGTCGGTTGACCTTTGTGGACTTCATGCGTTAGTAGATAATACCCGTCTAGGAGAAATGCAGTACAGAAGCATCTTTTTATTCTCTAATAATTAAGGCTTTACAAATCCCTACTTTTAAGTTCCTCGGGTTTGAGAAGTTAGCGAGATGAGAATGACACCATCGATAGTGTCAAGATGAAGACCTTTTGGCCAAACAAGGTATGAAGAATGCTCTTGGTGAGAGCGACAGGCGAAGGCGTACGTAAGAAAGTTATTTCCTCTCATGGTCTCATACTCCTGTGGTACTTGGGCTATAACAACCCAGTCGGACAAGTGAGGAGAGTGATCATCCGGGCGAGAGAGCCTGGACAAGGAGTGGCCCCCAATAGACTTATAAGATGGCGATGAAGGTGAATTGCGCACCAAACAGAGGAGAGCGTTTCTGGATTATATATGTGAAACTAATCAAAAGAGGCATCTTTTGAGGTAATGACAACTTTAGCATGATAGCACTATTAGGATGGTAGACCTCCTGGGAAAGTGTCTTCCTGTACCACAAATGAAAAAATTGTCAGGCTTGATATGGGACAGATCAAAGCGGACAATATCTCAAATAAGTTAATCTACGGGTGTCATAATATGATATCAGAATAGTGCCTCCTCAAGTAGGTGTTTGATTAAGGGACAAACCACGTAGAAGCTAGTAGGCCTGTAACGACCCGGTCCAACAAGCGTGAGGAATGATCGCCGAGGCGAGAGGGCATAAATAAGGAGTGGCTCCCGATAGGTTTCTAGGATGTCGAAAAAGACATGAATGAATGTGCACCGAACATGTGGAGATGGTTCATGGTTTATGTACGCGAAACTATAATTAATATATAAGAGGTACCTTTTGACATACAAAAGATGTTTAGCATTGGAACTTCAATGTTAAGCGTGCTCAGGCGAGAGCACTATAAGGATAGATGACCTATTGGGAAAGTGCCTACTAGAATAGCAAAGGACAAAATCTTTAGGCTCGGTATGGAAGAAGTCAAAGCGGATAATATCTTTAATGAGTTAAATTAAGGATGCACGCGGGCAGTCCTAGTTATGTTTGGTTCTTGTTTAGTAAAGTTGAGAATGGGGAAGTTGACTTGACAGGGGAGTCTCTCATGAACAAAATGGTGGCCCCCTTTGGCATGAAAACCGTGTCCTAGTTGGAAAGTAAGTATTTCATTTGGCCACTTGTTATGTAATTTTCCCCGTAAAAAGTACTTCATATTACAAAGGGAAGGAAGGACAAGTACAAAACTGGGGACACCTATTGAATGGAGTTAGGACATACGCTTGTTGCGGTTCAAAATGTGCTAAGGAATTAGCACAAAATAAGACTAAGCATGAAAATATATAATACGAGAGGCAAAGTACGAGATTGGAAGACCTTCTTCTCTAGATAGCATGTAAAATAATTAAAAATTCAATTTTTTAAAATGTGGAAACCAAAATCCAGAAAATAAGGAAAGTGTTTTTTCGAAAAATGTTTTTCGCGAAACAAATGCACCTTAAATTGATGCTGAAGGACCCAAAAATTTTCATTTTCCCAGAAAAGTCAGGAACCTACCGTATAACTCTACATTTTCTTCTTCTTAATTGTTGGAAAGTTGTATTGCTGTCATTTCTTCACCCCATTTAGTATAACCCGTGTAGTCCAGATACACAGAATCTTCATGCCAGTAAATCAGCACTGTGCTTTGTCTATGACATTTCTGATGATTCATGCCCATTTGGTCAGTTTGATATTGCAACTTATGTTCTGTGTGACGAGCAAACTTATGTTCTGTTTGATCACCTACGAGTTTAGGTTGCGAAGCAGTGTTATAAGGATCTATCGGTCTACACTTCGGTAGTAGCGTACGTTTTTTTTTTTAAGTTAAATCACAAAATTTGTCTATTTTCCGTAATTTCTCCCTAATGACATAACTATTCTTTCGCCTTTCTCCATCACTCCTTCATTCCTCCGTTTTCTCCATTACACGCTCTTTCGACCACCGATCCAATTCTATCCTTTCTCTTACAAATAGTAGGGTGATGCTTATATCCACCCGAGAAAATCAGTGCGCTAAAAGCTGCGAACCTTCCCTGCTACAATGCCCAATACGCACTCAAAGGGAAACTGCTATCAAACTCCTCTTTGTGCATTGACAGTCCTAATTCTTTCGGCAAGTAAAATGCAGGATATCTGCTTTCAATGGAGTCTAATTGTTAAAATTCGCCAAATCTTCATTTTTGCAAATTCATCCATTTGCACAAAGCTAATGAAACATGAGAGTTCATTACTGGTGATATTCAAGTGGAAGGCCCCATTTTCCCCAAGTAGAAGTTAACAATTCTTAGTGATCACTTATTGTGAAAGGCGATCGATGAGTTTATTTACTCTCACCAAGATCAACTTCCGCCGTAGATAGGGTCTCATAACTAGATATTTTGCTTGTTCAGGAATTCAACTAAGAGACTGTTCACTTGCTCCGGAAGTTGCTCATGGACGAAATGGCTCCCCTCTGGCATGAAGGTGACATCTAAGTTAGGGACCAAGTGCTTCACTTGCCCACTCCTTATGTAGTCCTCCATGCCCGGAAACTCCAGGAAAAAGTCTTTCTCTCCCATGATCAGCAACGCCGGTGCCGTAACTTTTAGATCCAGTGTGGCATATTCCGTCCCCAAAGTCCTAGAACGAAAATGCAATGAGTCAGATGGCATATAGACATCGATCAGTGTGTATCTATTGATTGGTCTTTAGCGAGATCATTTTAGTCTCTAGAATGAGATTCCTCTCATTTTATTTCGCCAGAATTAGTGTTTGCTATGATTACCTGTATGGAACCTGCAGGGCGAACCGAAACCCGGACTTCTCATACAAGGATGCATAGGCCGCGAGATCTTCCTCAGAGAACCATGGAGGTAGCGGGGTCGATGCATCGACCAAGTCCATGATCTCCTGATCATCACCGGCAACAGGGAGCTCACTCCCTGAAAAGAGGATGTAGATGTTTCTTATGACCGTTTTGATGTCCAGCCTACTGAAGTCAGCTTCCGCTCGCCCAGGTTCCTGAATTCAATTGAGGAATTAGCAGAGAGGTGGCAGACGGCGGTGGAGGGAGGTGAGAGAGAGAGAGAGAGAGAGCTTTAAGAATTTTACCTGCCACCTGCGAATGTAAAAGCCTTTGGAAAAGAGATGGAGTTGGATGGACGGGAGTCCAGGTCGAAAAAAGGGGATGCCCAATGTGATGACTCCGCAGACCCTCTCTGGCTTAACCACTGCAACAAGGTATGCTGGCATAGCCCCAAAGTCCTTCCCCACTAGGAAGGCCTGGATTCAACCCTCCGTATCATTAACGGACTTTTCCTTTTAATCAAAGCGATACATCACATAATCATAAAACGATTTCTCGATTTTCCATCCGTTTCGGTTCTCATAACAGTTGATTTTCTAGTCCCGTCCTCTTCTTCATTGCTAAATTATCATCTTATGCTTGCTCTTTGTAAGTGCTATGCTTGGCTGGGGAACGTCCTGACTAAGGGGAAGAAGTAAGTAAGTCACCATTAGTTTGACAGAAACTTTTTTTGCATCATTGACCGTGGAGATCTTTTCTAACTTGTAGGTTAAAGTCTAAAATGTTCGCAGTTTTTAGGACACGGATTCTTCTGGAGATTTATTGGGTCATAGCAAAAATGTACCATCGTTGGAAGATGGGGAGAGGAGACAGAGAGATGAAGAAAATATCTGAAAGCACAATACTATTTAGGACCTCAAGAATGTGCCCTTTCATTTGCTTTCATACCTAATGATTATCATGTGAATAGATCCAAACGAAAGCATGTTCATCTTTATATGATCAAGAAAAATCCACATCAAGAAGTTCAACTATCTCTAGATTTGGGATGGTTCCAAAGACAATTGCATTGTATTATTGTTGATGTCGTGACAAGAATCTGTTTCACGACAGACAAGATATGGACCGACCAAAATTAGCAAATTAGACAAAACCAAACAGAGAAGATGCATGAACAGAAGCAATTTTGTTGGATCTAATTGAGAAGAAGGAAAAGGATGGTTCAATGAATATATGAAAGATTCTCGAGTCTCAATTCTCTACACTCTCAACAGCAAAAATTTGGCCAATGTTAAAGACTCAACAATGTTGTGTTGTCTCATTATCCCTATAATGGCCGCGAAGATCAAGATTAGATTTATGAGTTGGTACCTTGGCAATGCCCAGGGCATCAAGGAGGGCAACAACATCTTCAACAAGATCAGCATAACAACCCTTCTCAGGGTCAAAAGGCTGATCGGAGAGTCCATAGCCTCTGAAATCGATAGCGATGGTGCGGTACCCGGCATTGGCGACGCCAATCATTTGGTGCCTCCATGTGTACCATATCTCTGGGAACCCATGCAAGAACACCACCACCTTTGGACCTGCAGAGTGCACCCAGAAAATTTATGAACTGGGTTATTCTTCACATGATGAACTCAGCAGCAGATATGAGTGAGTGTCACTGAACAAGTATTGCATGTGTGTGTCTCTCTCTACGCTTTCCTGCACTATGTACCTTCTCCAATTTCAGCAACATGAAGCTTCACATCGCTCACTGCCACATGGCTGTGCTTGATTTTCTCCATCTTTCCTGGAACACACAATGCCGAGGAGGAGTGATGAGTATGACTTTGTAGATGGCCTTTGTTGTAATTAAATAGTTGGTTTCTACCACAATGCCGACTAGGCAGTTTTAACTACTTCCCAAGTCAAAACAAATAATTCAACTCAAAGATGTGGATTCTCAAGAGCATCCTTGGTTTGGATAATCTGCTAATCACAGTTGTGCACATGGGTCCAAAGGATCATTTTTCCTAGAACGATTAGTTGTTAGGGCTTGTCACACCCTGAATCCAACAAGAATTGGGACAAGACACGGCTGTCATTTCCACTTAAAGAAAGCAGCCTCAAACATAACTAACAACCTATTATTATATATATGTATGTATGTATGTATGTATGTATGTTAAACCAACAGATTGGTTAGACCATTAGTTTCTATAATCCATCAAAAAGAATATGTACATCTCTAACTAACATCTAAACCAACAAACTCATCTCAATCATATACAACTCGGCTTAGAAATAAAGAACTAACTAAGTTCATATGCAAAATTCCCTTTATCAAAATGCCTGGATATAAAGCGAACTCTCTCGTTCTATTTGCCACTAACCAAGCAACCTCAATAACATTTAAGACGAATGATATGAGCAATCATAGCCCAGTGAGTAGTACATCTCTTTTAAACAGATTGAACAATCACTATGCATATATATAAAGCTATACCAGAAACTCAAACTCCAAACCCAAGATATAATATACAAATCAAATCAAATATGAGTTGTTTCATTTAAACAAAGTTTTATGCAAATTTGAAATACTCATTGAATCCACTATTACAATTCAAACATCAATGGTAAGTCCATCGATCAATCTTTATCAAGTCACACGTTAATAGTCCATTTCACTGACCAATTGATTGCTCAATATCCAATTATAATCACGACATAACACCTAATGATAAGGCAACGAATATTGCCCCATTAGCAAGGTTTCACCTATTATCAGCCGGTGATTTGGCATAGAAGGATATCCTAAAATCAATATACATACCCATGAATCCCTAATCGGGTTCACAATGATAATGAGCATCAAACCATCATCCTCAAATGTTAAAAATTAAATCCATAATCCATCTTGTAAACTAGAATACACTCTATAAACCAATACAAATAACTATTCGCAACTCAACTCATCTGCCAAAAGTACTTTTTGTCAGGCATTTCTTAAATTATTTTAGAACTCATTTCATAAATCAGTTCGCAAAGCAATACATATATACATACGTACATATATATATATATATATTCAAACTTTTGCACTATCTTTCATAAGACGTTTCTAAAACATTCATAGATAACCAAGGAGAAGTAAATGCTCAATCCAAATTTCATTCAATAAAAGTGCCGTTTCATTACTCATATTATATCTATTCCATATCACTTTTGAAATTTGAGTTTATAAACTCGAAGAAGATATCTCACTTGAGAAAGCCTAAAACCAAACTTCGCTACCTCAACTGCAAATTGATTAAACTAAGCTCAATCGCTAACAAAACAACTCGACGCACCAACAAAACGCTTGCCCAAAGTGATTATTCAAAGCTTTCCATAACTCGGAGCTTGAGCGCGAAACTTTAAAATTTCGCTCCGACTAAATCGTTACTTCAAATCGATTTTCGTCATACCCCACGAATCTACAACGCCCTTATTTACCATTTCCATGTAATCCCACATCTAAACAACTTCTAAATTGGATCTCGCAGTTCAAATTTCACATAACTTCACACATATATCCTAACTTTGAAAATTTCTTCGATTAGATGAACAAAGAGCTTGAATCCTTACCCGGTATTGCGAAACCAAGTAAATTTAGCTTGACGAGGTCTCCGTGACGGATACTCCTTTCCTTTTTTCTTTTCTCTCTTCTTCTTCTTCTTCTCTGTTTGCGATCACTCTCTCTTTTTCTTCTCTCCCTTTTTCTCTCGATCAAGTCTCTTTGCCTTAAATAAAGTGGTCTTCTTTTTTCTATATTTTCATTAGCCACTTGATTTGACCAACGCAACAACTCCAAATATTATAGGGCTCCCCAATTTCCTTACTAAAATTGATTGTCATAGATCTTATGCATAATCTTGATTTGACTCTGATACAATTAACTAAACTCTCACTCCAACTTCCAATGCTTCTTACCCTTTTTCTGTTAGATTTATAAATCCATTTGGTTGACGCATCAACAGCTCATGTCGTACAAGTAAAAATTTGAAGTGTTCAAAGTATTAACATACCAGACAGTCTGCTGAAAGGATGCGATTCTAATTGGCTAGAAATGGAAAAAGAAGAACTCGTCTACCAACAATAGTATTAAAAAATCCAAGCTTAGGATTAAAGAATGGTCTCTGACCGGCGAACAGCGAAATCATCATCTGTATATTTCATTTTTTTAGATGCAAAAAAGAAAAGAAACATATTATGCCACGCCCAGTCAATGTTATATGACAAAATATATGCCACGCCCAACTAACGTTGTATAAAAAAATCTGCTGATCTGTTTGATATTTGTCCTACTTGTGGAAGTCAAATGATCTGTTGATGGCATACTCCTGCTTAGACAGCGAAGACCGTTTTTTAAGAATTACTAAGGTTCAGTAAGCTCACACCTGAACTATCACCCGAAATCTAATTAACCCATTTATCTATGTCTGGGATCTTGCTGGATCAGAGTCAACACCAATACTGCTGCTTCTACAAGTTCTCTTCTTTGTATAGTAGAGAATAAATCTTATCTCCATTGGGTTAGTCCTAAATGATTCAGATGAAAAAAGCATGATATTTGCAGGCAATTACTACATCTTGCTTCATTCCATTTCATGTGATGGCTGTGTTGGCACCTGATTACCTGACCAACCCTTCCGTCATCAGGACTGTTTCATCCGTCGTTTGCCTTTTGTGGGAGGTCAAACACAACGCAATGCGATCCATGGCAAAGAATCAGTTAGAAGTGCAATAGACTCCTCCACTAGCAAGTCTAATCTATGCAAGCATTCCTAGTGCATATAAAATTTTGCTCCCAAGGCTATTGACAGACGAGAGTCTAGAGTGAGCATGAGGTCGGGTAGTTGGTCACTAGATAACATTGCTCTTGCAAATGTTTAATTTAATCTCCGAGACGTAGTTTCGACATGTTTACATTTTTACATAACACAAAATCTTTTTCTACATTTGTACAGGGATTTTCATCCAAGCGAAATTGATTTGAGAAAGACAGATTCGTGATAATGCTGACCAAGTAGGGAAGTTCCTATTTTCTCGCCTGTCTAAGCTAATCCAACGAGTTTCTCGCTGATCTCCCAGAGCTTACGTGCCTTCTCAGCATCACTGGCTTCTTTGGAGAGTTGATTCTCGAAGGAAGATGAGTTCTTGTTCCAGCTCCAGTAGACTCCCGATTTCTCCAAGCTAGGGTCGCTCACCACCTGAACAACAGACATTTCCTTCGCAACATAAGCACCATTGCAACTTTGAATTAACTTGGGCTTCATAGACAGACATTCTGTGGTTTTTTTAAAACTGCATGAGTTTCCACTACACTTATTAGCACACAGAGGATCCTATATTCAAATTATAGTGCTTATTCTGAAATAATACTCTTAACACTGAACCCTTTGATTCCAACAAGCACAAGTACCCCTGCCCCAGCATTTCATGTCAAGACATTGCTGAAGAGTCTCTGTGACCGACAAAAGAAACACTTACACTTTATAATTTCAAGCAAACAAGTTGTACGTGCATTTTCACCAAATTAAAGAATGTATCAGTCAAGTGATGTCCTAAAATATAACTGACCTGTGCAAGCCTTTTTCCAGCCTCCTCTTCAGAAACATATCCTTTGGTGATGTATTTCTGGAAGGGAGGGAATAGAAGTCTGAACAAGGGAATGTGCTCTCTGAACAATCCAGTGGTGGCAATGCAACCCGGATACAAAGAAGCGAACGTGATTCCGGTCTCTTCGTGGTAGCGCCGGTGGAACTCCTGCATGGTGAGCATGTTGCACACTTTGCTGTCTTTGTAGGCCTTGGCACCATCGAACTCACCTCCGTCTATCATAGGTGAGCTGCTCACCCCATTCAATCCCCCTGCTAAGCCCCTCAGGTCCCCCAAGTTGGCCTTTGGTGGTACATTTCCAGCTAAAGTGTTTGTGTTCCCTAAAAAACCAAAAGAAAATGACCCAAGTATAAGTAGTTTCTACCCCATTGCTGCTACAGCTAATTACAGGATTTGAGGATTCATATAAAGCAATATGGGTGCCTATATAGATGCTATCATCAGACATAGGTCATCAGTGCAGATAAAAATTAGACTTCAATTTACATATCATAAGCCCACACATCATGGAGCTAGTTTAAATCCTCACAACACTCCACGTATTTTGAACTTATCTTTATCTTACAGATTCAATTTGGTCATCCATAATATCACAATCAATGCAAATGCTCAACATTCTAGCGACCAAAGTTTTTATTCCACTTCATGAAGAAGGTTGCCAGTACATGTCGAATGATTGACCTAGTGTTCTTGACACAATTGTTTGATGCACTTTAAATATGCAAAACATATTGGAATTTGAGTAACTAGTTAAATATGAGCAAACCAATGTAGGTAAACGCATATGTTCCCAAATTTTTCTGCCATCAATTCTTAAACAGCACTACCGATCTCCTAGCCAGTGTATGGAAACAAATGCATTTCCCAAGCTTCATCACGGACAAGGATTTAGATTTTGAACCTTCTATTCTAAAGCAATCTTCTTTTCAAAGGAACAAACTAAACATGCCCAATTCACTTGGTCTATACAGCTAGCTAGCTCTGTGTGGAGCAATACCTGTAATGGACCCAACAATGATGAGGCGCTTCAAGGGGTAATCCGATTGCTTGAATTCATCAAGCAACAATCTTGCAAGTAGGAAATGACCCAGATGATTAGTCCCGACGCTGAGCTCAAACCCTTCGGCCGTGAACGACGGCTCTTTCGCGGTGGGCTGATAAACAGTAGCATTACAAACCAGCACATCCAACGGCCTACCCGAACGACGGAAGTTGTCAACGAATTGCCTCACACTCTCAAGAGAGGCAAGGTCTAGATGTATCACGGTGTAGTTCTCTTTCGGAATGCCAAGCGATTTAGCTGCTTTCTCCGCTTTGAGAAAGTTTCGGCACGCCATTATGACATGCCAATTCCCCGATTCGGCTAGTGCCTTGGCTGTGGCCAGGCCTAACCCAGACGACGCTCCCGTGATCACCACATTGAACTGTCTTTCCGTCTTCTTTTGTTCTGGTTGGAAATCTTTGATCATTGGCGCCGTGGTCGCTGTCTGGGCTCTAACTACGAAAAAGGGCACATCCCTTTTCTTGAAGTCCTGCATTTGAAGGGTCTCTCTGTGTTAAATTCTCCCAACTTATCAGTCACAGCATGCCCTTCCGTTTCTTGTAACAATGACACACTTGGCAAATGAATTGATCTCATCCAAACGTTTCTCTGCGTACTCATAATCTATATCCCTCCTCATCTGGCAAATTCCTATCATCTTTCATACTTCTAGAATGAACAAATGAAAAAGCAAGATTTCGATTTTACCTTAGCGAAGGTGGCGGGGAGGAGCAAATCATCCTTGACGTGGTCTCTCAGTGAAATTCCTGCAAGACTGGTGTCCTTAATGTGAACTGCCGTGTACTTCCCCTGCAGAGACGAGATAAAGTCAATCGCTAATCTCACCTGAGCTTGAAGAAAACTGTGATGAAAAGAAAGCTGCCCAAAATCGAAGGAAGAAACGACAGGACATGAAACGGTGAGCGAATAGCCACAGAGAAGAAGGGCTGAAGAATGATCATACGTCCTTGGGGGTGGAAATTGCAGAGGGAAGCGAGAATGCCGCACGGAGTGCCATGGCCTTCATGTGATGATTATCTCTTCTCGCTTCTTCTTCTTCTTCTCCTTCTCCTTCTTCTTAGCAGACTTGCACTGACAAAAATGTGTGGTTCCGATAAGCTGGTCGGGGTCGGAGGATGTAGACCGACTTGGCCACGTGGAGCTTGAGACATCCAATCGTTGTCTTAGCCTGGGATTCTTCTCGATATAGCACGTGCCTACGTGGCATTCAT